TAGGAAATCCTTTGCAGAGTTCCTCAATGGGCGTCTGCATCTTTTTTTCACTGATCCTTTCATATTTTTGTCGTTTTGTTGCTGCTTTGAGGCCTTGCCACGGTAGAGAGCCTCTGTTGAAGTACATCAAAACATACCCTAGACTTTCCAAGTCATCCCTTCTGCTCTGCTCTGTTAAATGAAAAGAGAAATAAAAATGCATTATACACATGTTACCAGAATAGGAATAGGAGAGATTTGAGACATAAATCTAAGAGAAAAAGGCATAATAAAGAGCTTGGCAATGAAGGATGGGGAGAAAAATAGGAAAAATAATGTACTGCATCAACAGCTATGGAGAGAAGAGAAGAGACAAGGGATGAAAACTAGTAGTAATCAAATTGATGTGCAAACCAGATTATTTGATGTCATAAATACTTTTAAAAAATATTCAATAAAATATCTAAAAGGACACAAGCACTCATTAATTATTGTGTATTCTTGAATATGTTAATATGACCCTATCAATGAAAATTCATATGCTTAAAAAGTAATCCTGTACTCTTATGCAGACAAAACTACACATGAAAGATTCAACATTTAGAGTAATCATAAGGCATTTAAATTACATTCTTAAACAGTATTTAAAATAAAGTAATTTACCTATTACAAGGATCTTATTATCTCAATAACAATAATAGATTTATCAGTGATTGATACAGCCATATTTGGAATGATTGAGATTTTACCTAATACATAATTTATGAATTCTTCAAACCATTGATGTACTTACCAATTCCAAGGTGAGTGTTGACTGAGGCATACCGAGCTGTGCCAGTTAAATTTTTGTTTTCCCGATATGGTATGTGTTGATGTGTGCGTGAATCTCTGTACTTTTTTGCTAGTCCAAAATCTATGATATAAACAAGGTTCCCCTTCTTGCCCAAGCCCATTAGAAAGTTGTCTGGCTTTATGTCTCGGTGGATGAAATTCTTGCTATGGATGTATTCTATCCTTGTTATCTGAAAGAATGCAACAAAAAAAATGCTGATCAACAAAAATAAATCTATTTTTACTTGAATTACATGTCTATTAAAAAGTGTTCTCTTTAAAAAGGCAATGTAAAACAAAAAATTGCTAATCATTTCTCTAAATAATACCAGTTGATATCAACATGTTACAGTAATCTAATTGTCCACACATTAGGCTGAAATACTTTCATAACGAATCCTCACTTTCACAAATATCTATAATTGACATTTCACACACATTTTCACAGACACAAATAATGCTATCATGATTATGATGATAATGTTACAAAACCAAATGCAAAGAAGATACCTGACAAAGCTTAGACAAAAACCTATTCGGGAACCATGTAGTACCTCCAGTTTGCAAATGAATCCAATAATCAACAATAACAGTAAGGTCCCCTAGTTAACCCATTGCCGACAGAAATGCCATGCCATGCCCACTGTGAGATTACATATTTGATTGTTTTTACACATAGATGGCTACACTTGTACTAAGTGTTTATTGTATTTACATATAGATAGCTCCACAAGTTCTTAATCACCGAATAGCCAATTATCAAGAACTACCTATTTCACCTGTTTACCCTCTTCCTTCACAATTTAGGAAAGGTTTTTCTTTTTTTAATTATTTCATTGTCTAAAATATTCTAATGACAATTTAATAAACATAACATCAATAACAATAAGAAATATCAATAGCAATGGTATTAACCCATTGCCGCCAGGAAAAATAATGGCTCTGTTAGTGCCTGATATGAAATGGCGGGAAAAACGTATTTTTCACTAGTGCCATGAATATCGATGGTGTTATTTTTATTATAAACAACATGATTTTTATAATGTTTTTTAATATTAGTGACAGTAAAATAAGATAACATAAAATATTTTGTAAATCAAAGAAAAGGGTGAACGGGCGAGATGGGCAGTACTCGTAACTGGCTCATTGGTGATTTAGTACAAGTGTAGCCATCTATGTGTAAAAACAATCCAACAAGTAATCTCACAGTGGGCATGGCATGGCATGCCCATCGGCAATGGGTTAATTTTCCCGCCAATTCAATGAATGGGAAAATCAGGTTTGGTAACTAGGGCCTACTGATGAACTCCTTGCCGGCTGAGCACATGTGGAGCCATCTGTATGTAACAAAATTCACCAAAAACTACAGGGGACAGAACATAAATCCGGGGCGAATTTTCGAAAATATTTTACGTTATCTTATTTAGCTATTACTAATGTTTATATCATTATAGTAATTATGTTTATAATAGAAATAACACCATCAATATTCATAGCACTAGTAAAAAATACATTTTTCCACAAATTCATGGAAAGGTGAAATCATGTAAGGCAGAGCCATCTATGTGCAGATATATTTCACAAAAAAAAAAAAAAAAAAAGAGAGCAAAGCATTTTCCCCATTTCTTATTCATTTCCCTCATCAGCAATGGGTTAATTATATTTATATATATATTATACATATACATCT